GATTTTAGGATCCTAAACAGGCCTGTAACCAGCCCAATGTGCCAAGAGGGGCAATGGCATTTGCATGGAGGGCAATAGCTGATAGAGACTGATTTCAGTTTCCATTGAGAATTTGTTCGAATTTTGCAGGGCGGGCCTGATTCTAAATGAAACAAACACTAAGGTGACAACTCACAATTGACAACATATGGATTATGGACAGGTAGTATAACATTGCCAGGGTTTTGAACAACAATAGTTGTAAATGATGAACTTTCTACACTGTCTACTGCTCTTTTCTCTCTAACAGTTTTATCATGTGAATCTAAAAAAAGAGGAAAAAACAGTCACCAGTTTATAGACCTACTTCCATTTGAATGCATTTTGTAAGGGTTTTCCACCAAGACTCTAGATACCTGGTAATGGTAATTATTTCTTTCAATGCAGTACCATCTTGTCATTTTCTTGGTCAGACATTAAGAGTGATTGTGACATAATTTATGATGTTATGTTGTCACCATGTTTTCCAATATGACCCCAATCTCATTTATTGGGATTATACATCACTATAAGGCCTTAGTCTAGTGACCTTGACACAGCTTGAGCAAATATCTCTAGCTCATGAATAATCCATCTTCAAGCTATTATGTCAAGCTATTACTCTAGCTTGACAATGTGAAGATGTGACTAGACTAGAATGCTAATAATCATAGCCCCATACCATGGCCATGGGTAGAGAAAAGGTTTAGCGTTCTTTCCTCGGTCCTCTCTCTGCTCTGTCCCACTCTCCGCCTGGCAGCCTGTCTCTAGGCCTAATCAAATTCTGATAGTAGGCTATAGATCAATCTAGTCTACCCCTTTCTCCCATCAGCTGACGTTCTGATCTAATTTTCAGACAATTCTTATCAGATATTTTGGCAACTTACCAGTAATACACAGGAAAAAGAAGTAAATAATAACGAATTTCTTCAACATTTTGATTTCATTTCACAAGTCACATGACTTAAATAGAATGGCGGGAAAAATAGTCCAGTGTCCTTTGCGCTACTTTCGTTTTAGAAATTAACGCTCTTCCACATATATCCAAAGGCTCAGTCTTCCGACAATGTTACTCGGGCATTGTTTGACATGCACAGTGCAAGTGCGTAAACGAACGGTTTCGCGCTTACCCGATGGTTGGGTTGAGTCAACAGTACCGGTACTTCGGTACGCAATTCTACGGCCGCGAAAACTACTCTCTGTCTACAATTGTTTCTGAATCGAAATTATTTCCGTATGAATCAAAATATCAAATACAAAATACTCCGATCAACCACTGGAAAAGTTATTGTTTACAAAAATGGAAAAGTCTGAGGAGGCCCAAAGCCCCTTGAGGCCTTTGTTTCAACCATTATCTTCATCATATAGAAATAATATGGTAACAATTTCATCTAGGTATCAACCAATTCAACCATTCTCTAACAGATAAGGATATGCACCATTAAACTATACTTGCACTAAGTCAAAAAGTTTTAAGACTAAGATAGAGCTAATTCTGAAAAACCATAAAACTGTAGTTGTGTGCGTGAGTGAGGTCATTTATATTGTCAGATCATGAATAGCATGTAGATAGATTGCTGTATGTAATTATTCAGATATATGGCAGACCATTTATAATCTAAAATATACATGTAATTGCCAAGAAATGAAACTTGTTGTCCCAGATGTGTTGGTTGGTACTGAGCTTGTATGAAGCATAAAGAAACCTAGAAATGTGATTATGGCACAAAATAACAACAGTACGATTGTATACTTTTATTAAATACAGTCAATGGTAACAACAAATGAAAACAATAAAGATAACTATTACTGTTATATATATATGAACATCTTGGATATAAAACAAATAAAACCTTAAATTTACAAGAAGTACAAAATCCTTGAGGATTAACTAACAAGGCTTCAGTTACCACTTAATCAACCATAAAGGGGCTGTTTTGAAGTTTTTAATCTAGGAATCGAGGACATCGATAGAATCGATAGAAGAAATGTCATCCAGGATGTAAAGAATACCCCATGCTTCTAATGTAGAAATACTGTCTGTTACTAAAAGCAATAGTATTGCTCACATCCTCAATGATGCCTTCTGAAATTGTAGCTGACAGTCTCTCCTTAATAACATTTGCAATACATTAATTTCTGTAAATGATATCTATGATAAATGGAATGATTTATGGAACTGAGACATTGACTTGAGATCTAGGACTGATTCTATATCAGAAAGATAATCTTCTTGTCTATATTTGCCAGTTATGTCCAGCTTTAGTTCTGAGAATGCTAGAGAAGGTCTAATTTGCAGCACTGAATATAAAACACATCCAATTCCTTTGGAATTTGCACAAATCTGTTTTATCATTGAAGTTACATGCACAGAGTGTCTGGCAGTGAACAGTTTAATTAAACAAAATTCCACAATATTTACTAAGTATTTCCACTTGGTTGTTGAATATGGTTAAAATGTCCCTGAAAATAAAATAAAATATATTATAAACAGAACTGGAAACACTCTACTATTTATGAATCGAAAGAGTGAAAATATTGGACTATTTATGGTTTGAATAGTCCTGATGTGCAAAATATAACATCAAATGACAATTAAAGGGACATGTTTGACACTTTCGAAGGATAAGTTGGGTCTCCAAAAAAAGTGAAAATAGTAAGAATTTAAGTTTCTATTTCTCTTTATGTTTTTTCTGTGCAGAGTCTCCAGAAAAGATGAGTCGTCTTTTTAACTTTCTTTTTATTATTCTGGACACACATGGACTTGAGAGGTAAAATTTTGAGCTGTGAAAATTATCCTGTTTCCTGAGACTAAGGTCAACTACAATCTTCAACACAGCATGAGGCAAATCTTTTGAAAAATATATATGAGTATGAAGCTTGAAGATGGACAATTTTGATTGGTTAAAATTCATTGCCCTATACAAAATTATACTTTGAACAACCCCAACATAAAGATGTCATGTAATATTTATAACTGTCTGACAACCACAGAGCTGTCTGTAAAGTTCATAATGCTTTGTCCACAAAACATACATATATAAAAGAGTAAACTTACAGATAATCCAGCCTGACATTGTGGACAGGAGGTAGATTGGTTAAGATATGTTTGAGATGACATGAGATCAACATGTTCAGGTTTTAAGATTATTGGTGTCATTTCTACATCATCTGTATTGTTATTCTGCAAAACAAAAGCAAAATGAAATATTTAAAACTTTTACTAGCATAAACCAAACTGTCATTTATAGATAAATCTAATATGTAATTTCAAAACCAGGAACCTCATCCACCTGTATCACTTTTCAGCATAAAATCATGCATCCAGTTATTCTACAATGAAATGAAATTGATGGCAGTTTCATAAAAAACCATTGTCTGCAAATGATAGTTCATACCAAAAGACTTAAAATTGAAACTCCTGGCCACATCTTCTCGGAACCATCTTAACGCTGGGATGTCCTAAAATCAATGTTAGAAGATAACAACCTTGGACATCCTAGTGCTAAGATTGTTTCGAGAATACATGGCCAGTGTAGGATATGTAGAATGTATCGGGTGCTACTTACTAAGTTCAGATCATAATGCTCAATGTTTAACTCTTTATCAATCTCTTTACATATTCTTTTCTGAAATAAAACAATGTTTTACTTTTACTACATTTTTTTTCTCAAAATACTCAATACTGGTATACTGGGGGCAATGGCATTGGCAGTTTTCTGTGGTTACATTACCAGTGTGCACCACTCAATTTTGCCTATACAACATTTTAAATGGGCAATAATAATTGAATGGAACTTTGCCGACATGTTGACTGAACACAATATTGTAGATCAACATACTGTACATTAATAAAACCACTTTACTGCTTTCAGCTTATTTTACGCTTTACCACACTTGGCAAAGACTAAAGAGGCTTTTGAATGGAAATTGGAATGACTTTTGGCTACCGGCATTATCTTACCATATCTTTACTATTATTGTTCATTTCTATAGAAAAAGAGTTTTTCCTTTTTCTTGAAATCATGATGTCAAAAGCATAGTTAATTGCTTTATCCTAATTATTTTTTCTTAAATCAATCAATTTAAAAGTGTACTTTTATATTCATTGTTTACATTTATAAAGTGAAAGCGGAAGTAGATTTAGACTAGTTTTTCATGTATTATGCCGTATTAATGTTGTTTGACAATCGCGACTACATACAGGTGCTCGGAGGCTCGAAATGGCGTTCGTAAATGAGAAAGAACAATTACTTTGATTATTAATTGGATCTAGATATTTTCAATGACATTTATCTATGAATTTTTAGTTTCAAAAGAATTCATGAAAAGGAAGAAAAACTTTTATCATTTTACGCCGAAATTATGATACTTATAGTTATAAGTTTTTCATAAATCCTTTCGGTGCTAAATATAAACAAATAAGTTAGAACTTGCCATGGCAGCGTAAATATTGTTAAGTGATAGGTAAACGTGGATATTGCACCATGGCCTGATTCTGTAGAATTTTATGATTTCACCGTGGTAAAATATTTTAAATCGTTTATGTACGTGCAATCTGAATTCTCAAATTTTCTGTCAGTGTCATTTCACAATTCCGTTGAAATTTAACCTGAAAATAATATGTTCCCTGTTGTTAGTGTTGCTGTATGTATTGCTATTCCATTTGGCAAGTCACTCGACTCTAGGCCTCTTCAGACAATAGGCCTAATAATAGGCCTACAATTTGAGAGTTGACATTTCAAATCAGTCATTAAAAAAAGTAATTGCAAAATGTAATTCAGAGATCACAGTAAGAGTAAGCCTTCTGAGTAGATCTAACTTGAAAATTCAACATACTAACTTGAAAATTAAAAAAAAAAAAAAAAAAATGAATGGCCCTAATACGCTTTCGTACATATTTAAGCTCTTACACAAATTAACTTTTAAGGGAAGTTGAAATTTGACACCAGATGATGGAGAGTCAACACAGAAGCCCAATAATGGCTATGAGTGGGTCAAGAGTCCATCCTGCTGATGAAATGAGTATATCTGCCATCAGTTATGGTGGTCCTGGTATGTCTCGAATGTTGTACTCTGAGCCAGAACCAGAACCAAGTCGACTAAGATCCACAACTCTCGAAGATGCCAAATGGTCTGAAATGCGAAAGAAAGCTGGTTTCAGAAGATATCCAAAAGAAAAAATTGAATCATCACCTAAAAATAAGGTAAAAATATATTGAAAAATGCTTAACATAAACTTTACAAAGATTTTCATTCATTGCCAAGGTTGATTGTCATTGAGACTTGACTTATTATTAACAATGTTGGAAGATCTCTTGATAGTTTGAAGTTGAAAATGAGTATGCTACAGCAGATAGGCTGCCTCCATCTCCCTCTTTGCACACTGCAAGGTGTTGCCATCAGGAGCATCAAAGAAGTACCTAGAAATATATTTCATTTCATTTACATGTAAAAACAGACCTATAGCTCTCTCTGATTGATATTTGGAAGCCCTAGTGAATTTGACCTTCTTCTCTAATCTAAATGTCCAGGGTTCAATCCCAGCATAGGTTCAGATTTCAGTGATTATTATTATTATTGTTAATACCATCAGATTTTTCAACAACCTGGTTACCCCCTGTCAGTGATGTAGATTGGGCTGACATAAAAAAAAAAACCATCTAGTCATTCGGTGGGACAATAAGCCATGTGATACAGGTTATCCATGTTAAAATTCCCTCGACAGTTGGAAATCAAAAAGGAGTAAGCTAATGGTGCTCTCTTGGCAAAATTTCCCTCATTGCACATTGCATGGCATGGCCCTTCTTTTTTTTTTTTTTAGCCCAATTAGGTGCAGAAAACACCATTCATTTCATTTCTGATTGCTATTTTAGATTGAGTTGCTTAGATCCTTTGTGCGTGAAAATTTTCATCAAAAGGAATGTATGAAGTTTGTACCTAAACTAAACCAAAAAGTCAATAAAGTTAGAGATCTCAAGTAAGTCAATAGCTTTGTGATGAAAATTGTATATTTTCATTTTGTATTTAATAGTCTATGGTATAGCATCAATAATCTATTTATGAACACCCCTTGATTTTGAGCTCGTAAACACTCCAGAGGGCACAATTCTTGACGGATATTGACAAAACTTGGCATGAGTGTTGGTTATCACCAATGGATAAACCGTATTGAAAAACAGAAAAATTGGAAAATATTTAGTATGAGTTATTGCCCTTGCTATTGGAAATGCGTTCAATTTTTAGCTCGTAATCACCCTAGAAGGCACAATTGTTGACAGATGTTGATGAAACTTGATGTGAATGTTCGTAATCACCCAAGGATGAAACCTATTGAAAATCAGAAGAATTGAAAAATATTTAGTATGAGTTATTGCCCTTTGTTCTGGAAAACGCTTTCAAATTTAGCTCTTAAACACTAAAAGGCATGACTCTTACTGGATTTTGACAAAACTTGGTTTCATTATTTAGTCCTGCACTGAAGATTGAATATTTGCCTTTGAGTTTTCACGAGCTAAAAATTGATCAATATTATTCAGTATCGCCCTAAAGAGTTCAAAAGAAGTGTATGACTGAAGGTTGAATATTTCATACTGGTGATTGTTACTGTACTGCTAAATATTTTTATTCAAAATCAAAGCTGCCAGTGGGCGTATATTACCTTGCCTGGCAAGCTATCATAGGGTATTGATTTGAGTCTTGAATACTTTGTAAATAGTCTTTAATGGAAATGTACAAAAATGGCATAATTCTTTAAAAAATATCTGATAATTCTAGACGGACATGGATTTGAAGGCATAGAATTTCAAGGGTGAGCTGTCAACACTAGCTATTCCAGAGACCAAGGTATGATAGGTCAAAAAATTGGCTCATTTATCCCTTTAAGGTCATTTGTTCATATGCTTTCTTTTCAGATGTCATTGTGGTGAAATATTACGTTTCCATGCTGCTATCAAAACTGATAAATATGACAAACAAACTCCCATCTCAGCTTCTTTTGTAGTGCCTGAAGGTTAGTTATAGGATCATTAGCTTTTGATATAGACAGCTCAAAATACTTGGAAAGAAGTATAAATCAACCATCTGACCTCTGTGAAATCTGGATTTGTTATTCTCATGAAAATTGGTGTTGAGTTATGTATAGTGATTGACAAGTTAATCCTGGAAATAAATACAATTACCTCTGATACATTAAATTTAAAAGGAATGCATTACAGATTGAATATTCCCAATGCAAATGATAACTTTTCATCAGTTGGCAAAATGATTTAGAACTTCCCAAATGCAAGAAGTTCAGATGTCAGAAACAGGTGTTCTCTAGAATATGTTTTGAAGACAGCTATTGTCACAATCAGTATATGAGAGTGTAAAAACAGCCTGCAAACTGACATCACGTCTGCTCTTAAATTTGTTTCTCAAATTATGAACAACCAAGTACAAGATTTCTATTTTGAAAAGTGATACTGACAATTGAAATTGAATTGCGTGGAAATTTTTTTTTTAACTATATCCTTTTAAATGACTTGATTATTTTAATCTGTGCTAAATATGATGATCTTCTACACACAATCTGTAATTGTAGAACTGAAATCAATTGTAAATAAGGAATACTCTCCAGCAAAAAACGATATACCTCAAGATATTCCTTGGACTCCTGAAGAGGATTTACAAATATCAACAACAGCCAGTTATGGCAAAATAAGTTTTGAAGTAGAACAAATAGGAGGTCAGAAGCCAGCAAAGGTAAGATTTATAATTTGTTTGTATCCACTTCCTTAACTACTGTTGCTAGAAAAGCTAATGTATGCTTACACTTCTGCATCATCCAATGCTCTCCTGTATTTTTTTAGGGGTGGGGGATCTTTGGGGCGTAGGGGCCCGTGGACTTGGTTCAACCAGTCCCTATCGTAGTTGAGCCACTGCCGCGTGCCAGAGTGGTTTATTTGGATGTGATCTTTCAACCAGATTAAAGAAATATTTCAAGCTTGCAGAATGTTTTATTATTTGAGAAGATAGATCTATAGGCCCTACATGCTTAAAAGTATTCATTATATAATTACAGTATGTTAGAATCAGTGATGATGATAGTGTAATTAAAGTTCTAGATATGATGAGAGATCATTGGAGAATCATGGATCCCAAACCACCTAATCTAGTCATATCTGTAGTAGGTGGAGCCAAAAACTTTCGACTGGATGGCAGAATGAGAGATACATTTTCCACTGGTTTAATAAAAGTAAGTTTAGCATTGTTTTTGTTATATCATCTTGATTAATTAAAAATTGGTTAAATATCATATTAAAGGACAGATTCAGCATCCGTTAACCCAATCGTACCTTAGTCTTAGAAAAGGGAAGTTTTTAGCTAAGCGAATCAGTAATAGTGTTCACAGCTCAAGTCGAAAATTGGAGTCTTCAAATTCATGTGTATCCATTATTATCTCCATTTGAGTTAAAGTTAAACTGACGACACATCTTTTCTAGAGACTCTGTGATATATAGAAAAGATATATATAGAAATGAAAAATGAAATTTCTAGTTTTAGATATATTTGATGGAATTACGCAATTCTTTTCTATATTCAAGGCCCCCCCCCCCTCCTCCAAACATGGCGAACTATGGCCTTTAATCTGTACGTCCTAAATGTCTAACAATGATTAACAATTTATCTGCATCTGATTAGGCTGATGAAGGTTGAAACTGCCAATGAGATATTTTTGCTTAGACTGACTTAGACACAATGTCTCTATTATTACAGGCTGCTAAAACTACCTCAGCATGGTTAATAACATCAGGTTTTAATATGGGTGTCATGAAAGCTGTAGGACAGGCAGTTCACGAAGGTCAAACTTTCCTCTGGGATGATGACAGAATGACTCATCTAATAAGGTGTATTGGTATTGCACCCTGGGGCTATATTCGTGGAAGACATGTTTTAGAGAGCGAGGATACACAGGTACAGCTACTTTAATACACGTGACTGATTATTGCCATCTTTCCCGTTCTTCTGTATATCTGCGTGTCTGTCTGGTATGCCTTTGTGGATTGACGTTACTAGAGGGGAACTGCATAGTAGCCTCCGGTAGCTCCCCTCTGGAGATGCCATCAACCACTTAGTTTAAGTGGAATTGCAAGAACCACAGAAAATTGGAATGGTGCAAATTGAAGCTATCAGTTTCCCCAATACACATAAAAAATTAAGTAAACCTCTTTACAATCCCTTTGACTGATGTATCTGTAATTGTTTGTAGGGAAGTTTCAATGCCTCCTATCGACCATCTAATGTTATTCTTCATGGTAGACCTGTACCATTAAATCCTGACCACACTCATTTCATATTTGTTGATGATGGCTATAGAAACAGATATGGTGGTGTGGCTGATTTTAGAGCCAAATTTGAAATGCAGGTGTCAAAGGACAAACATTGTAAGTGTATCTTTTTAATATTGATTTATCACACAACAGTACTGTTGCCAGGTTTCAAACAACCTCTGGCTGGTAAGCACTGGCTGTGGCATCAGAAAAACCCACAACATGCTCTTGCCTAGCACACAACCATCCAACTCTCATTACTTATTGAGCTATTCGACGGCCATTATTTTTCTAAATAAAATCATATTTAATGGTGTATTTCAGCTGGAGGATTAGGTATACCAGTAGTATTAGTGGTAGTAGAAGGTGGAACTGATGCTATACTAGATGCTCAGAGATCATTAGAAGAAGGTACACCAGTTGTAGTCTGTGCTGGTACTGGTAGAGCTGCCGATATTTTTGCCTATGCTTTTAAACATGTCACATGGAAAGGGTGAGTGGAAATAATAAACTTGATTCAATATACACATACAAAATTAAAAAAAACTTCTTGACAATCAATTTTAGAAATAAATGCATTTCAATATGACTAGGTTTTGAAAGTACTTTCAGTTTTTAAATAGTCCAGAAATTTTAATATATAACACCCAAAACACAACATAAGCAGTATTGAAAATCATGAAAATTTGAAACACCCAGTAAATCTTCTTCCCTATAATGTGAGAACATTTGTTTATAAGGTCATACCAAATGGAACAATTGGTCTACGGATTTTCAGTTGAAAAACATGGAGCAAGCGAGCGAATTTTATGGAAAATATTTTTGTTCTGCCGATTATTTTGTGTCAAAATACAAGCGCTTTTTTTAATTATTTACAATCTTTTGAAAAAGGTCGATATCGCCAAGTAGTCTCAGCCGTAATAGCTGTATTAAGTACAAGTCTTCTTGAGCCATTTTTTAGGGAAATCACACATGAAAATGGCATTTTCAATTAAAAAAAATTTCCAAATTTGCGGCAATAATAATATTTAGGGAATTCGTCTCGAGACTTTACTCGCGTCCGGCCTGAAGTTGTAAACATACAGTTGAAACATTAGTTACAAATAAGATGAAAAAATATCTAGGCATATTATATGCACTATCCACTAAATAATTTTTTTTTGTTTTTCATCATCCGTAATACATTGAGTTCTCAAACAAAAAACATTATTTGAATCGGTAAAAGAACGGGCTCGGGTCAGGCGCAAGTAAGCTCGGGTGAGTAAACGAACGTGCAACTTATATGGGAGATAACTAATTTTTAGCATATTCGATTTACCAGACTCAATCGACTTGGTTACTTGCTTTGTTACGACAGAAATTTTGTTTGTTTGTTTAAATTTTGATGTTTTAAAAGCAGATGATAAATTTATGAATTTCTCAAACATTAAATTAAAATAGCCAGATTCGATGAATTTCAAATATGTTATGCAGCCGGTCAACCATTCGGCAATTTCCGTGATCTCCATCTCCATCAGTCATTGTGTAACATTTGGCACCTGACCACCGTTTGTCGCAATGATATTGTGATTGTAACAATGCTATTAGTATTTATAAAAAAAATATATAGTCCATGCTTTAGAATCTTTTAGGGAAAATTGATCATAAAAATGATGACATGACTATTTTGTTCAACAGACTAGGTTTAGGGAGACTTGTTAATCCACGTGAGAGGAAACATCATATAATAACATGGTAGGTAGCGCTGTCGTTGACTCTATTTTGCCGTTTGAACTATAACAACTAAGAGGTCTAATCATTATATTGTTACGGTCGAACTGACACGAAAAAAAAAAAACGATCGTATGAAATTTTTCTGTCGACGGATTTTGATACGAAAAATGACGAGCTGTGATTTTTTTTGCATTATTTACGTGTGGCGAATCCGTCGACCAATCAATCCATTTGGTGTGGCCTAACCAGGTTAATACTTTAATTGTTTTCAGAGATGAAAGAGTTCTGAAGAAAAAGTATCAAAGGAAGTTAAAATTATTTATAAAGGAATCATATGGAAGCTCCTGGAAGTCCAGTGATAAACAAGAATCAGAAAGTCAAAGATATCTAGATATTGTTGAGAAATGTTGTATTCATAATGAAGATCTGGTAAGTGTACTTCGATTTACCAACATTGAATTATTAAAAGTATTGTAAAGAGGTTTTCGAAACGTTTATGTGTATCATGAACACTGATAGCATCAATTTGCACCATTCCAATTTTCATTCCAATGTCTGTGGTTCTTGCATTTCATTTCATTAAAACTAAGGCGTTTTATGTTATGACGTCACTAAAGGGGAATTGCATAGATATCAATAGGAGCTTTCGGTAGCTCCCCTCTAGTGACATAATAAAGAGCATTAGTTTTAGTGGAATTGCAAGAACAACAGATGTCAGAATGAAAATTTAAATGGTGCAAATTGAAGCTATCATTGTCTCCAATACACATGAAAATTTTGAAAACCTCTTGACAATCCCTTTAAAAACACATTTTAAGAACTACAAAATTATAAGTCCTGTGCCTGTGCTTTCGTAATTTTGTCGTTTGTACAAAGTTACAACCTTTACTCCCGATGTATGGCAAACATATTTTCTAAACAATTTTTGTAACATTTTGAAAAATGTTAAACAACACAATGTTGATTACTTTAACATTGTCATTGTGTGCAAATGCTTGAAAGCTATTGCTCTATGACCTAGGCCAGTGCTTTCATTGAGACTCATCTCGATACACCTTAATATCAACAATTGATTAATCATGTGACTGCTCTCTTTGTTAATATCTTTCCTTATAATAAATTCATTATAATTCTTATGATAAAATAAACCTTTGGAGGGTGGAAAATGGATTACACAAAAAAACACCATTTTGTTAAATGACTCAAGTCTTAAACAGGAGTAGAAAAACTTTAATAGAGGTAGTTCAGTAGATAGAAATACAATAAAGAAGTACAGGTTTAAAACCATGGATGGAGTACGAACACCTTAACGAAAAATCTATCCCAATTTTTTGTTAATGTTCTGTAACTATATAGCCTATATGACTATATTTATGTTTTAGATCTATGTTTTCCATATGAATAAACATGAAGATTTAGATTTAGCTATTTTATCTGTTTTATTAAAAGGTAAGAATTATTTTTGCCTCTGGCTCACTTGTTTAAAAACTACACATAAAGAAGTAGCTTATGGTAAAAAGAAAAGAATTGAAATCAATTTTGTTTTGAGATGAATTATAAAACACGAAATATTCATTAAAATTAATTAGCTTGAACTACAAGCATTGGATAATTATGGTCTAAGCATCCTGTTTTGTGGTTGTAATAGCCTTCAAAACTGCCTTTTTTTTAGCCAAACGAAACAGAAATCAAGGTAACAGATTAGAGCAGCTACATCTAGCACTGACATGGAATAGAGCAGATATAGCACAAAGTGAAATATTTCGGGAAGATGTCAATTGGGAAAAAGGTAAGAAAATTCTACAAAATTTTCACTATGACTTTTTCAAGGCTGATAGTCAAGATACTATTATATGATAAAAAATGTAAAAAAAAATATAAAATTTTATGTAGCAAAAGACCAGAAACAATAATTAATAAATTTTTTTGTCTTAAAGGGGGAGAGATTCTGTGAAAATATGCCTTTATTTGTTCTGACCTAGAACATTGCAAAACATACATGTTATTTGTATTTGTCAATGCCCTTACACCATAGAGGTCACCAGTTGTGTTTGTTTGCGAATAAAAATAGCAGTCATAAGTTTCAAACATAACTCTCATACAACTCAGTTTTGAGTTGCTTACGTTACTCATGAGCACTCTCATTATTTACAACTATACGCAAATTGCTATGGTGTAAGAGCACCTTAAGACTAAAGGCTCCCGCACACTGAGAGAAAATAGTTCAGCGCCAATTACGCTCGACTAGTAGAGCTTCGTGTGCGGGTAATTTTTAGTGTGCATTTGGCCACTTGTGGTCGTGTGGAAAATATCTATCGTGTTTGATATTTTTGACCACTTGTGGCTGATGGCACATGATGTGTGGGTAACCATGCGCGACTTTCTCAGTTGACGAACACAACGTGCATGCGTTATTGGTATTCAAAGATGGCAGCGCCCAGTGAAGTAGTGACAGAAGCAATCCTTGAGGATAAATTTATTGAATTATGGCAAGATTACCGCTGCGTTTCTAATATCCGATCGTCTACGTTGTAATAATAACAATAACAACTGCATTCATCGCTTGAACTAGCTCTGTAGTAGTCAGCCATTTTCATTGATCCTGTGATAAACTGATGTCAGATATAGTTGAACAAATGGTGCGTCGTGGGGAGTAGTGTGGTGAGAAAGAAGCGCACACCAAATTCTCTCCGTGTGCGGGAGCCTTAATGCAACCAAAACATATGCAAGTAATTTACAATTTAAGCAAAATTATTTAAGCTCTGATTGACTGGCTTGACAAAACGGTTACGGTTGTAGATAGTTTTCATTTAACTTGAATTATTTTTTTTATATTTTTTTGATGTATAATTGTAGGAAGTTTAGATGAAATAATGACTAAAGCTATATTAGAAGATAAAGTAGATTTTATCAAGTTATTATTAAATCAAGGAGTAGTCATGAAAGAATATCTGGTTGTTAAAAGATTAGAGGAACTATATAGTAAGGTAAGAAACATTCCAAGATAATCACATAAACATTATCCCCTTTAATGTTGAATATGAGATGAGCTGGTAAGTAAAAATGACATTATTTGTGAATGGCAAAATGATCTCTTTATTTCACTATTGAAATCCTATGACATCTATGTTTTTTGTCATATTTTTCTGAATTATAATAAAATTATTTCACTATTTTCAAAATTCAGAAGGGACACAAGTTGAAATCAGTTGTCTGAAGATCACATAAAAATGGGCCATGAAACCAACCATCAATGACTCATGGAATTAACAATCAGAAACATTCGATTTTTTCAAGTCATTGATTCAATAACTTATTTTAATGTGCATTGCAAATAACAGACATATTTGACGTAAAATCACTGTTTCAGGTCAGACCTCGTTAACGATTTGATTGTAAATTCATTTTGACGTCATACTTTGATATTACAGCGCAGATATAACAGGTTTTGATATAGACAGCGACAATCTGCGGGCCACGTCTATAGTGACAAGAGCAAACAAAGCATCTGCTCGCATGCCGCATTTCCCACAAATTTTACAGGTTGCACAGGCCTGATGTACGTTAATGTCTTATTTTTCTGAATAATTATGTAATTTGACCATTTCTATTTGCAGATTTCTAAGAATACCCACCTATTTAAACTGCTGAAACGGGAAACTGGCGGGAAAGAACAATTTACATTAAAAGATATCGGAAAATATTTAAAAGCCTTACTGGATAAATTTGATGATGATAAATATACTGAAAAACACCCACACGATCCCTTTAAACAAATACAGATATTTCACCGCAAAAAACATCAAGGAAGTGAATTATTTACTGAAGACAAACCTAATTCTGACAGTGCTGCTCAATTTACTTGTCCTTATAAACATCTCCTTATATGGTCAGTTCTGATGAATAGGTTAGCATATAGTGATAAGTTATGTCACTTTTAGTCAATAGTTGTATATATAATAGTGGACTCCTCAAACAAGAAGTACCATCGGGTGTTTCCAAAAGAAACTATTTTAATGGTCAAGATCATGAGATACAACCAGATCAATTCATGTCTGACTAAACAAATTAGATTTATTGTATTTATCAATGAGTTCTCCCGAAGGACCATATATTTGAAGTTTGTGTATAATACTGTATGAAGAATTGCAGACACATGAACAATTTCTGATTATAAGATAAAATTTAAAGAGAACTGTCTCCTAAATATTATCTGTTCTTTGATGGAAATATGCAAGAATTTATTTTCATTATTATTTTCCAGATTTCAAATGGCCATATTTTTCTGGGAAATGGGACAAGAACCAATTACCAGTGCCATTGTGGCTACCAGATTGTGTGGTGTTATGTTTCAAAAATTACCCAAATATGATAATGAATTAAGAAAAAATTTTGAACAAGGAAAAGAGTAAGCTACAAGACCTTTTGATTTATTATGTATATATGTCTTTGACTTATTTACTTCTACTACAAGTATAATTCAACTTAAGCTATTAAAAACTCAGTTCACTTTATGTCATGTTTTGATGACAAATTGGTTTTCTGATGCTGATTATTTGAAGAATGAATTGCATTTATTATGTACTTACAATGTGTTTTCTGTTACAGATGAAATGTGTTTTCTGTTACAGATGACGATATGTTTTCTGTTACAGATGACAATGTGTGTTCTGTTACAGATGGTGATATGTTTTCTGTTACAGATGATAATGTGTTTTCTGTTACAGATGACGATATGTTTTCTGTTACAGATGACAATGTGTGTTCTGTTACAGATGGTGATATGTTTTCTGTTACAGATGATAATGTGTTTTCTGTTACAGATGACGATATGTTTTCTGTTACAGATAACATTGTGTTTTCTGTTACAGATGGTGATATTTTTTCTGTTACAGATGACAATGTGTTTTCTGTTACAGATGACAATATGATTTCCAAATTAATTGTATTTATCATGTGTCAATATATTTTCTGTTACAGATTATTTGAAGAATTAGCAATTAAAGTATTAGATGAATGTCATTCAGTAGATCCTGATAAATCTATGATGTTAGTAGAGAGGAAATCACCAATGTGGAGTAAAATGACTTGTTTACAAATAGCAGCTTCAGCCAAAGATCAGGTACTTTCAAATATATTTTTATATCTGAAACAGTGCAGGCAGTCTTTTTAAGATTTAACAATTTCAGAAAAAATAGTACTTGGATATTATGAATTGACCAAATGAAGGTCTGTTAATGCTTTACAAGAAAAAATTATTCCAGTTGAATTAAGCACACTATTAACAGATTGAATTTCACTCCAAAAATCTACATATTCCAACTACAAAACTAAGCCATTTAAATGGTTCAGATCTTTGTTCACAATTTCTCAGTTGGCAAGGGTGGTTTAGATTCAAAGATAAAATTATCACAACCATCTTTAGGCAGCTTTCCACCACTCTTTCAAGGGAGGTAACTCTTAATACAGACTTGATATCTCAAGACCACAATATTATAATATTACAGACCACTTTATTATTACTAGATATGTTATATGCAGTATTTTCTCATTTTTAGATTAATTTTTTTTTCTCAGGCCTTTTTGTCATCAGTTGGCTGTCAATATTCTATTAATAATACATGGAAACATGGTATATTATCGTCATGGAGACGGGTAAGTTAAATAGCTTATTTTGGGATTATGTTTGTATAAATTACAATATAAAGATATTGAAACAGAACCTGAAACATGTTGTTGATCAGAGATTCACACTGTGTGATCTTTAGGCAACTTACCTATCTCATCTTGTGTCTATTTGTATTTCTATATCATTCTACAATTGATAATCAAATCCTCTATATTTTTTTGTAAAAGATCATAGAACAACTGAATATTTTGATGTTTTTTTACCTGACAGGTATTGTTAGGTGTATTTCTACCAATAATGATAATCACTAAGTTTATGGAATTGTCTCATATGGGAGAGAAGAAAATCCACTGGTTTCAGAAGTTATTTATCTTCTATACAGCACCCATAACAAAATTTACACATTATACGGTAGGTACACTTTAATAATGAAAACTCTTTGTTATATTTGATTTAGATCCATTTCACCAAAGTTTCTTGTGCTGTCTAACATTCAGCCCAACTAACTGTTAGAGAAAAATCTTGGGAAAGAAAGCCTTCCTACAACAAGCTATTAGAAAACTAATGTACGGATTTGAGTAAAATAAATTGTAGAGAATTATGTCTCCTATATATTCTAAAAATTTCAACTAATAATATCGAGCCATTATAAAGCCACACACCATTACTAAGTTAAACTGCTTAATTAACAATTAGTACTCTCCGTTTTTAATTAACCCTTTTAAAAACAAATTCAGTTAGATCCATAGATATAAATAGTATACTTTAGAAATATTTTCAGATATAATTTAAGGCATTTTTGATAATAAAAACTTTTTAACAAAAAAGCAGAATATCCCTTTAACAAGCCAAATTATTGGATACAATTTGAATTCTTTTCTTTTTGATTTCACCTTATGACACTATAAGTTATGATATGAGAGAAAGTGTAAGAAATTTTTTTTGTATTTTTCAGATTCAATATCTAATATTTCTATGTTTATATTCATACATGGTATTGGTTGATTTTATGCCGACACCGTCTATTAGTGAATGGGTGTGTTTTGTTTGGATTGTGACATTTCTTATAGGTGAAATACATTCTGTAAGTACCTTCATACTATGAAGTTCATAGGTTTTTACAGTTTACTGGGAGATGCAATGGCTCTGTGAGTTAGACACAGGCTTTCTAACCTGAACGTTCGTGCATCATAATATAATGTTCAGGATATTACTGCAGTGTGTCAAATTCTGAAACTATCTTGCTGGAATATTCTACAGGAATAGATGTTTTCTGACTACAGGTTGTCCAGATTCAAAGACTATGTGCTAGCTGACTATCCTTTAGGGATAGATGACTTCTGACAACAGTTTGCTCAGATTCGAAGACTATTTGCCAGCTGACTATCCTTCAGGGATAGATGTCTTCTGACAACAGTTTGCTCAGATTCGAAGACTATTTGCTAGCTGACTATCCTTCAGGAATAGATGTCTTTTGACATGTTCACAACAGTTTGCTCAGATTCGAAGACTATTTGCTAGCTGACTATCATTCAGGGATAGATGTCTTCTGACAACAGTTTGCTCAGATTCGAAGACTATCTTACTGACTATCCTTCAGGAATAGATGATTGTGAGACTTCTTGGAATATCCTTTAGGAATGGATGTAGCAATAGTTATTAATAGAATAAAGGTTTACTTCTTAATGTGTTTTTTTTCTCTTTAGTTTCTAGCGTTTCCATCGCCTACTATCTATGGTAAGATAAGAGACTGGTATGGATTTTTAAATCGCTTAGACTTGGCTAATTTAATCCTGTCTATAATAGCGTTTGGTATTCGCTGGGATCCTCGCTATGTGTTTATCGCTAAAACTATCTACTGCGTTAGTGCTGTAGTTTTTTACCTTCGAATAATGAGAGTATATACAGCCAACAGTTCTCTTGGACCAAAATTATTCATGATTTTAAAGATGGTAAGTACCTACATGTAGAATTTATAATTTATAACATATACTATTTCATGTTTTTTAGCAGTTTATTTCCTGTATCACTTTTCATAACATGTTGAGTCAGTTCAATATAAAAGCTATTACATCACAATTTAACAGTCAAATAAATAACCTTTTGCGATCCAATTCTTTAGTATGATTAGCAAAACTTAAATTCATCAAAACGATCTGCTAATCAAATCAAATTGTATATTTTTCGTGAGAATTTTCTGCCAAATCTAGAAATATCAGTCAACTCTTAGTGATCTCTCAGACCTTGTGGAACTATTGACCTTTTGGTTTAGAAATAGCTGAATCCATTGTATCTTAAAAACACTATTATTTTATCATTATGATATTATTGTTATTGTATTATTCTTAAAAGTTATTGATAAGATCCATCTTGTTTGCAAACAAAACATTTTCAATTCAAATTGTGATTCAAAATCTTAATTGACAAGCCGAAACTGAAATTGGTGTGTGTAAAATTGTGTTTCAAATTTGTCAATCTAAATTGAACTTATTTTCCTTCAGTTTGAAGAATTGTTGACATTCTGTCTGGTGCTAGGTGTGTTTCTATTAGCCTATGGTGTGGCTAGTCAAGGTTTGATGTACTATACCAGAAAAAATACAACCTTTGATGTGGTAATAGATGTCTTTTATTATCCATACTGGCAACTTTATGGTGAAATTTACCTCGATGAAATACAAAGTAAGGAGTAACTTTTATATTGATACGCTAAAGAAGCCTAGATTAGTTAACTCTGTTTTTCTGGATTTATATTGCTGCAGTATCCATGAATCTTTATGAAATTCTAAATAGTTCTCAAATCTATGAATGTAAAAAAATCTATTGTGACCCTCTTTGATTTTTCACAGCCTGAATTGTTTTCCATGCGTACAATGTATATAATTAGTTTGACTCCAAAAGGGATGTAGAGAACAGTCTAGTACCAAAGTGGCATCAGGTGTTCTGAAAAGATGATCATGCCCCACCGAAAACATCTACATATAACATTAACTATCCTATGTAAAATAAAAACAAGGTATGATGATTTATCTGTTATCTTTATCAGCTGATGATGTTTGTACTCAAAGCAACAATATGACAGCAATGGATCTAGAGTCATTTAGTAATACATGTCGTACTAAAAATACATTGGTACCGATATTGTTAGCTGGTTATTTATTAGTTGGTAATGTTCTACTGCTTAATCTACTTATTGCCATCTTTAGGTAAGTTAATGTTAGTTTTTAGTGTACAAAGTTTTAGAAATATATTTGAATACTACTATAGAAATATATTTTCTTTAATGTAAAATAGAGCAGCGGTGGCTCAGTGAGTTAGACGCTTGCTCGCTAACCTGAAGGTACAGGGTTCAATCCCAGCGTAGGTCGAGATAATACCTTCGGATCGATCGGATGGGACAATAAACCGAGGCCCTGTGTGCTACAGGCTGTGCATGTTCAAGATCACTCGACAGTTGGAAATCGAAAAAGAGCAGGCTAATGCCCCTGTCGTGACAAAAATTTCCCTCATTGCACCCTGCATGGCGTTGCCTTCATTAGAACACACGGTGCAGAAAAGTGGGACGTAAAACTCCATTCATTTCATTTCATTTTTAATTTAATATTTGATTTATACATCAGATACAGAAGAGAAGAAATATCAGATGTATTTCAGTCATGTATTTGATACAGTAGAAAAGAAATCATTAGAAATATGGAAATATCAGATGTATTTTCTAGCTATAATGTTATATTGCAGTCATGTATTTGATCCAGTAGAGAAGAAATCATTAGAAATATCAGATGTAATTTCTATTTATAATGTTATATTTCAGTCATGTATTTGATACAGTAGAGAAGAAATCATTAGAAATATCAGATGTAATTTCTATTTATAATGTTATATTTCAGTCATGTGTTTGATACAGTAGAGAAGAAATCATTAGAAATATGGAAATATCAGATGTATTTTCTGGTATCTGAATATGATGTGAAGTCAGTCATCATTCCACCATTCAGTGTAATTTTACATCTGTATCTAGTTATTAAATGGATATTTCGTAAAACATGTTGTGCCAAACAAAAAGAAGGTAAATCTGTTTAATTTTAGAGAAAAATCAGACACTGTTTTGAACATAAACGTAAAAATTGAAAAATTTATACTTCTAATTTTTGTGTAGTATAGATCCTACATGGAGGTTTAGGACTAGGAAACTTCTAGTGAAGAATTATAAAATTTTGTCACTGTTTTTAATGCTCACCCCATGTTTAAAGTTTAAAGGGGAAGTATGAAAAATTTTCAATAAGAAAAACGTAAATAATATTTAAACATATTTCTAAAGAATGCTATTTATATCTATGTATCTTCTTGATCAACTTTTTGCGATATCAGCATTCACTGGAAGCAAATATTAACTTGTCATCTACCAACCAACCTTGATCAAACTGAATTTGTTTTTAAATGGTTAATTAAAAATGGATTGCCCTTTTAAAAATGAATCTGCACTATACATATAAATGTACAGTACCGGTACTTTAAATTGACATGTAAAACTTTGAAACTTAGAT